GCACGTGACAGCACGTTCGGCCAGCGATCGATCGCGTGATATTTTCTCTCTTCAGATACTCATGGCTACTCCTCAGAACTTTACGCCAAACTACGATGATTTCCTCAGGTGGTATCAGAATTATCAGAACTCAGATTCTACTGCTAAGGTAGCACACACTGGTAATTTATCTGTTTGCCTCTCTCAATCATCTCCTCTTCGACCTTGGGTCCTTGATTCTGGTGCGTCTGATCATGTTACTGGTAATAAAAATTTGTTCTCTTCCCTCTCTACCTCTGGTTTCTTACCTACTATAACTTCGGCCAATGGTTCTCAAACCCGATCCGAAGGGATTGGTACTGTTCAAATTCTACCTTCTCTATCTGTTACTTCTGTCCTCTATGTACCTAATTGTCCATTTAATTTACTTTCAGTCAGTCGTTTAACTCGTTCTCTTGATTGTAGTATCACCTTCACTAATAATAATGTTACCCTGCAGGATCGGAGTTCGGGAAAGACGATTGGCGTCGGATATGAGTCTCAAGGCCTTTACTACCTTTCATTGTCATCTCAGGCATGCTCAACCAAAGATTCTCCACTCACTATCCATGCTCAGTTAGGTCATCCCAGTCTTTCCAAATTACATAAGTTGGTGCCAAATTTATCGAAGGTATCTAATTTACATTGTGAGTCGTGCCAATTAGGGAAACACACTCGTAGTCAATTTCCCTGTCGAGTCAACAAACGAGCTTCGTCCCCTTTTGCTTTAGTTCACACCGATGTTTGGGGTCCCTCGCGTACTGTCTCTACTCTTGAGTCTAGGTATTTTGTCACCTTTATTGATGATTTTTCACGTTGCACGTGGTTATTTTTAATGAAGAATAGATCTGAATTGTTTTCCATTTTTGAACAATTTTATCGAGAAATAAGAACCCAATTTGGTTTGTCTATTCGTACCTTAAGAAGTGACAATGCACGTGAATATTTATCCCAACAATTTCAAAAATTTATGTCATCCAATGGTATTTTGCACCAAACATCTTGCCCTCATACACCCCAACAAAACGGGGTAGCCGAACGCAAAAATCGGCACCTCGTAGAAACCACTCGGACCCTACTTCTCCATGGTAATGTTCCTCTCCGGTTTTGGGGAGATGCAGTGCTCACGGCATGTTACCTCATAAATCGCATGCCATCATCTGTCCTTAATAATAAAATCCCTCATTCAATCTTGTTTCCAAACTCTCCACTCCACCCAATTCCTCCTCGAGTCTTCGGGTCCACGTGTTTTGTACACAATCTCTCCCCTGGTCTTGATAAACTATCAGCTCGATCACTAAAGTGTGTCTTTCTTGGCTATCATCGATCCCAAAAAGGTTATCGTTGTTACTCACATACTCTACAACGATACCTCGTATCCGCCGATGTTACCTTCTTCGAGTCTGTTCCATATTTCGAATCCAGCCAAGTTACTACGGAACCTCTACAGGAAAGTATTCCCACACCTCTTCCGGAAGTCCCATCTGTCATTATCCCCCATCATTCTAGGGAACCTGACCCACTAGTTACCCCTACGGTTGACCCCCCCCACTCCTCGCCCACTTCAAACATATCAGCGTCGTCACCCAAAGTCTGTCATACCTGTCCCTGAAGTCGTACCTGTCCCTGAAGTCGTACCTGTCCCTGAGGTCACTACGGTCGTACCTGTCCCTGAAGTCGTACCTGTCCCTGAGGTCACTACAGACTCTCCTCCGACGCCCTCGCCATCACCGGATTCGGTCCTGCAACCTGAGTCTGATCTTCCGATTGCCCTTCGAAAAGGTATACGTCAAACACGAAATCCTTCTCCACATTATATTGATTTATGTTATCATCGTCTTTCCCCTTTGCAGTATACTTGTTTGTCTTCTTTGTCTTCTGTTTCTATTCCTAAAACTCCAGGTGAAGCATTATCTCACCCTGAGTGGAGGCAGGCAATGATTGATGAAATGTGTGCTCTTCAAAGCAGTGGTACCTGGGAACTGGTTCCTCTACCCCATGGGAAATCTTTAGTAGGTTGTCGTTGGCTTTATACAGTGAAGGTTGGTCCAGATGGCAAGATTGATCGATTTAAAGCCCGCTTGGTAGCCAAAGGATACACTCAAATTTTTGGGTTGGATTATAGTGATACCTTCTCGCCTGTAGCCAAGATGGCATCTGTTAGACTTCTTCTAGCCATTGCAGCCATTCAACATTGGTCTCTTCATCAACTTGACATCAAAAATGCATTCTTACATGGTGATCTTGAAGAGGAAGTATATATGGAGCAACCACCTGGGTTTGTTGCTCAGGGGGAGTCATCGAATATGGTTTGTAGGCTACACAGGTCTCTTTATGGTCTTAAGCAATCTCCGAGAGCTTGGTTTGGCAGATTCAGCACTGTAGTACAACAGTTTGGTATGACCCGTAGTGAAGCTGACCATTCTGTTTTTTATCGTCACTCACCCCAAGGGTGTATTTATCTTATTGTGTATGTAGATGACATTGTCATAACTGGTAGTGATCAGCAGGGAATACTCCAGTTGAAACAACATCTCTCGAAACAATTTCAGACAAAAGATCTTGGTAAACTCCGCTATTTCTTGGGTATTGAAGTAGCCCAATCTAAAGATGGTCTGGTCATTTCCCAGCGGAAATATGCTATGGATATTTTGGAAGAAACAGGTTTGTTAAATGCTAAACCAGCTGATACTCCTATGGATCCAAGTGTTAAACTACTACCCAATCAGGGGGAGCCTTTATCTGACTCAGGAAGATATAGGAGATTGGTTGGAAAGTTGAATTATCTCACAGTCACTCGTCCGGACATTTCTTTTGCAGTCAGTGTGGTAAGTCAATTCTTAAATTCCCCTTGTCAGGAACACATGGATGCTGTTATCCGGATTTTGAGATACATCAAATGTGCTCCAGGAAAAGGTCTTGTGTATGAGGATAAAAGACATACCCAGATAATTGGATACTCTGATGCTGATTGGGCAGGGTCACCCATTGATAGACGATCCACCTCTGGGTATTGTGTACTTGTTGGAGGAAACCTTATCTCCTGGAAAAGTAAGAAACAAAATGTAGTTGCAAGATCAAGCGCCGAGGCAGAGTATAGGGCCATGGCAATGGCAACATGTGAACTTATTTGGTTAAAACAGTTGCTCAAGGAACTTCAAATTGAAGAAGCAAGACCAATGACACTTATTTGTGATAATCAAGCTGCATTGCACATTGCTTCAAATCCAGTCTTCCATGAGAGGACCAAACATATTGAGATAGACTGTCACTTTGTCAGAGAGAAGATCGAGTCAGGCGACATCGTCACAAGCTTTGTCAACTCTAATGATCAATTGGCAGATGTGTTTACAAAATCCCTACGAAGCCCCAGAACTAACTATATATGTAACAAGCTTGGTGCATTTGACTTATATGCTCAAGCTTGAGGGGGAGTGTTGATATGTGTAAATATATATATATAGTGTTGAGAATATTTGTATATAGAATAGTCCCACATCGACTATATCATGTAATTACTTGTATTCTATTTATATATAATAATGTCTCCGTAGTGCTTTTCAAAACACACGGTTTATTCAAATGTCTCTTAGTCTCTTGTATTTCAACATGGTATCAGAGCCTGGTTTAAGATCCGGTGGGCCACCTTCTATGGTTTCCGCTATCGGGCCACCCACCATTTATTTCCACGCTTCAGTTGTCCAGTCCTGAGCGTGAGGGGGTGTGTTAAGAGTCCCACATCGGACAATATATGGCATGAACATGTGTTTATAAGTGGGAGCAATCCTCACTCTACCAGCCGGTTTTGTAGGGTTGAGTTAGGCCCAACCACATTTCTTAACAAGTTGTACTCTTAGTTAGTTGTACTCTGTAGGCTATTTATATCATATTATATTTTGTACACAATCAAAAATACAGAATTTTATACTATTTGATCTAATCGCTACAACTATTTGACCTGATTTTCTATTTTGGAAAATTATATTAATAATACTATAAACATATATTTCATATAAAATAAAATTTTAAAAAAACTCAATTCATAAAACAGAGTAAAACAAAAAGAAGTAAAGAATATGAGAAAAAGCACAAGGAAGAAAAAGAAATGAGGGAAAACAGACGGAAAAGAGATGAAGGAAAAGAAATGAGAGACAAGAAACGAATTTGAAGCTCAAAGGAGGAAAATATGAAGTGTAGCGGGAAGATGATGAAGCTTGAACGAGAGACTTTGTTTTTTGATGAAGAACTGCAAATTGGCGCACACAGCAGAGAAAAGACGAAAAATTGCTCGGTTAAACAGTTTGGAGACAATAACACTCAAAATTAAAAGAAAAACCCCAAATTTCCCTTAACATCTTTTAATTTTAAGGGTTAATTTAGGTTCTCATGATGAGCAAAAAGAGAGTGGTCCAAAAAACCCCTCCAAACCGCGGCCCGTGAAACCCCCCCCTTGGAGCGCCACAAACCTGTTTTGCCTCTCCATCGCAGACAGGCTTTGTGCCGCCGCGATAGTGCGGCTCCATACCACTGCTGACTGCCTAGACTACTAGACCTCCATTTGTAACTGAAAGCAAAAAATATAGGAAGTACAAAACAAAGTACAGCTTTAAAGTGAAGCAGCTCAAGAGGTACCATTAAGGCAAAAGAAAACTTTGGCTAAAGGAGGCTATTTCTAGATGAATCATAAAAATACCTATTAAGTTTAATAGAAAAAATGTTTAATACATCAAACTTCTCCAATCATTCTGAACACCCTATGATAGTTTATCAAATTGGCTGAGAAAATATAGTTTTATAAATATTGAGAAGATTTCTATGTAGAATAAATAGACCAGCAGGATATTGGGCTTTTTGGAGAGACCGGGAAAAGCAAAATCAGTTGCGTATATTGTTTAGTTATTCTTACCTATATTCTAAACAAAACTGAAAGAATACTTTAAAGCACACAATACATAACAAAATAATAGGGACAGAAAGCATACCCCAGTAAACCTCTGCCTGGCCAAGTTCTAGGTGTGATAGTTAAGTTGATCACTGTGCCTTGCCTCATGATGACAACAGGTACTGCTTGACCCATGTTTGACTGGGACTCAGAAGCCAACCTTGGGAGCAAATTTTCACCCACTTCAACATTGCCAAATTTCAAAATTTGATCTCCAAGTTGTAAACCATCCTCTACTGCGGGTGATGCATCTGATATCTCGTCAACCACTGCAAAGGGTCGACTAACCAAGACATCCACATCCATCGAGTTGGGGGAAGGACTCAAAGGGACATTCTGTGATGGTGTTGATGGAACAGCTTCTACAGTTGATGAGGTCTGCATGCCTGAGTCATCATCATTGTCTTAGCAGTAAGGCAAACATTCAACACGATGTTGCAAATATTATAGTAATCTTAAAAATTATGAAATGTTAATACACAAGTTTACATTTAAAAACAAAATCTTAGCAAAAACTAAAGTTTGGTTACTCTAGCTATAAAATGCAAGGTTATCAATAAGATCGTGTGATCTCGTGACGCAAGTGGGATTGTGTCAAATTGTATTCGAGATTGTAAAATCTCACGATTTTGGCAATCTGGCCATTTCTGGCTCAAAATACCAGGTTGGGGTTTGCACGACCCAGGAGAGTAAAAAACACAACCCTGAGTTTTTTAGTGCAGTCAGAATCATTGTCTTCCTTGAACAGCAACGCACCTACAACCTTCATCCTCTCTTGAGTCTCACCTCTGCATCTCGCTCTCTCACATATCATCAACCACAACCACCATATCAGCCACACGCAGCCTCTCACTCTTTCTCTCTCAAACGCGCTAAACTTGGTTCTTTCTGCATTCTCTGTTTCTTGCGCACATCCCTCATTCTGCCTGTTCTTTCATAAATAATGGCTGCTATATTTTTAAACTTGTAAAAGTGTTACGTTTTTTGTATGTGCTTTATGATTAATTAAGACATGTGAACTTATGCAATATATGTATATATACACTAGTTTTATAGGATACTACGATTTAAAATTTTCCGATCTTGATTCTTCCCTCTTGGTCCTAGTATGATCTAATGATCAACCTTCTATGTAATTCACTTCTTTTTAAAATACTTTATTTACCCCAGAAGAAAAAACAACAAACTTCATCACCAAGTCTTTTTCCATAAAAGTCAACAACAAGCAGATCACAAATGGGGGAAATTGTCATGTTGATCAGGTTCAACAAAGATAAAAAAATCAGCATGTTTAGACTGATTTTAATAATGTTTTGTGCAGAGAATATAAAGACTCATAACTATGATGACCATAAGAAGCATAGCTAGCACAGCTACTTTGACCATATACCATAAGCTAATGATAAAGAAATAATGTATAATCAAGTGCCACAACTTGTTACAAAACAAGCTATGGAATAGGAAAAACGGTATCGATTATAAAACTTTGGGAACAAGTCCCTTATTATAGTAAAGTTGCACACAAAGTTGTCAATCAAGATTTATTTCATCACATATCACCAATCCAAACAAAGCTTTCCTTACCAACCTGATATATTCTTTCCTGGTCTTGGTGAAAGCAAAATTTGTACATTTTGATCAATCTTTTTAGTTATCTCCATGTAATCATTACGCAGCTCTGGAAAATGCAAACATGTTTACTGCTTTTGTTTGTTCACATACACATAAATAATTTACCTTAACCCTCACCCATCTATCTTAGTTAGGGATAGTTAGATACCTGCAAGGCGACGTCGTTCGGCTCTAACAACTGGAACATCGATATCGGAACGAGGAAAACCCTAAAAAAAACAAGTAAACATTGAGTTGAGTTGAAGACTTATTGATATTTGAAATGTGTATTGCAGTGAGAAAGAGGAGAAAACGGAAAAACCTCGGAATCAAGGAGGTTGCCGGAGAGGCCGGGGGCGCCGGGTTGAGAAAGACGGGCGATGATGGAGTTCATTTCAGACTCTAACAAACTCCGTTTGTCCATTAAAGAGGAGGTTTCTGCCTTCAAGTTTGTTCCCACCATTTTCGAATTCACTCAATTCTCTTGTTTCTTCTACTGTGTAGATCGCTCAACCCCTTTTGATGTTTTCCCTTTATTCAATTGCCAGAGAATTTGAGTTGTTGTTTAGTAAGATTTTTGGCTAAAAATATATATTGAAGATTTTTTTAAAATTTGTAGATTTATATTGATTTTTTATTTATTTAAAAAAAATGTTGGCTATTCATAAACATAAAAATAAATATTCATTTGATAAATATCTTTAGTCTAAACAATTCATATTTTGTAAATTAATTAAAAATATTTAAAAACTAATTCGCACGCGCATGTTTATATATATATTAATGTTCAACCGATGAATTATTTGAATGCTTTGACTTTCTAACCACTTGAAAAGTAATACCAACGGATAGTTGTGATATATATATATATATATATATATATATATATATATATATATATATATATATATATATATATATATATATATATATATATATATATTGAAGTTAGTATATTAAAAACCGATTAAATTTAAAAGTGATAGTTGTGGCATATGTGTGTCGTTATGGTGATAGTCGATGGTGACGATCAGTGGTGATTTATGGTGGTCGAAGAGTTTTTATAGTGGTGGTGATTGATGGTCAGGTTGACAATCATCTTGAATATTCATGTCTCTAAAAAAAAATCTTGAGAGTTTAACTAAAGACACATTTTAGTTTTTTACCAAATTAACATACAAATCGTCAATAACAAAAAGATAATAGTTTTTACACAGGTTAAACTAAAGAAACAACAAAAAGAGCTTTCATACGAGTTGAGTTTATGAACCTTCTAATAAAGCTTTTACATAGATCAAGATCGAGAACCTACAACCATAGTTTTTGCACAGGCTTAGCTTGTTTAAGTCATTTACAAAATAATTATACAATAGAATCACACTTTTGATTACAGCAAATTAAAGCACAACACTTTACAACACACCTCTCACAAAGATTGAACTTTTGAACCCCTTTATACAAAAAAAAAAATAAATAAATAATTTATAGCTACTTCCAACCAAACAAAAAACAAGAAGTGAAACGGTGAGTATTATTTTCAAACCAAGGTTCAGTTATGATGCAGTAGCATCTATTTATATTTTATACTACATAAGTTAATTCTGGTAGACAATTACAACAGTTGACAATCTAATTCTAGCATATAACTAAATCACCTGAAAAACTATAATCTAACTTATCTTAACATATGTCAAACCCCTGGCATCAATGGAAGTCTAGAATCCCATATAAAAAGGTATTTTTGCGCAACTCTACCAAACAATAATTCCTTTTAAATTCATCTTCCAAATTATAAGTCACTTTTTTAAAAGATTTGTCCCAAATTATAAATCACTTTACAATTCTAATATATCATTAATGATATTTTTTTTCAATATACCCTCTATTATTTATTATTATTTCTTCTTCCAATTCTTTTAAGTTCTCTTTCATCTATAATAAATAAAATGTAATATTGTAAAGTAATGCATAATTTATCTTTCTCGTACAATATTGATTATGTTCCTTAATTCGCGTGAAATATCCAAAACGTCTTATAATTTAGAACGGAAGGAGTACTATTCAGTTCCATTTCATAACATTCTTCGAATTAAAAAGGACTAAAAACAGGTGAGAAAAGAGGATCCTTCACAATTGCAAATAACTACAGGCTTATTAAATATCAAGATGGAAAATAAATTAAGAATATAAGCTTATCCATCTAGCACATTTTGCATGCAAAATTTAGGCCCGAGCCATATTACAATCTCTGTTTAAAATATCATCATTTCAATCCTTCACCAAGCCCAGGTGGCATTCCTAAGCTCTGTGCAAGACCATTCATCCTTTCCTTCATGGCCTAATAACAAACCAATACCCATGTTTTCAATTCAGTAACCATAAAAGCAAATGAAATTTTATAGATATATTTACCTGGACACTCTTCTGGTGTGCTTCCTTGTATGCTTCAGTGATTAAAAGCGATAGTTTCTGCAACACACATGTATTCTACAATAAATACTCTTGGCTTAGCATTGAAGAACATAGTCTGGTTTATAGTTTATACAGGGGGTGGGGGTTGTTTCATTTTGAGGCACAAGTCATCGCCTATGAACCTCACTGAAGTTGTCCTTATTAATATAATTATGTTTCTGTGACTTAAGTATTCTTCCATAAACCTTAAATTGACTTGAAATATTATATAATCGTTGTAGAATATCCAAATTACGCTTTATGGTAAACCCTCCATTTTATCCCTTAATCTTCTAATTCCATAATTCACAATGCATCCTAGTTCTCGAACATAATCAACACCCTCAATCCATCATAATTAAGTCTCTTATTAATTATATATCTTCATACCACTATTAATTATGAGCAAGGAAAACAAACAAATATGCGTAACTTGACATGATTCATTTCCATTCTTATCAGACGAAAAAAGAAAATAAATAATCAAGAATTTGTATCTGCTATCTCTGAGTAAGTGAATATGTGTTTACTATTATTTGAGACATCCAATCCCTTTCAATCTAATAGTTTGTGCTATTGATATATAATTTGACAGGATAATATATCAGTTTAACTGTTTACTTACTTCTGATCCCAATTCCATAGCTGCCTCAGTAATTTCTGTCCTTAAGGGTTGCTGGTTTCCTGTCAGAGTTACCTAAGAATCATAATTAAAAGTTGACAAACAAAACCACACATACCAATTAACATACTACCTATTGATAATGCAATTCACAATTTTGCATATAAATAAATATAGAAAAACCAAGGAGTTGAAGAACATTTTCACATTAAGTACAAGTACAACTAAATAGTGACATGCTTCTGTTAAAAACACCATCTAAAACTTTAAACCTTAGAAAAGAAAAATAAGTCCTCCCTTCCCCTCCAAAATCCTACATCCAAACGTACACTTAAGGAAAAGCCAAAGGCTAACCAATTCTGCTAGGAAAAACATTAAAAAAAGGCTCAATCATATACATCGCAAAAATCGTACCTTTACTAACTCACCCTCACAATAACCATCAAACTCAGCCCTGCATAATAGAACCAGACCGATGTATCATTTAGAACAAATTTTACAATAGACTTGTATTAGAAAAGAAATGGTAGAACTTGCAGAATCAAACAAGATGGGAAAATTTTATTAAATGCATCTGGCTAAGGTGACGTAATGAACTAATGATGTACTGCGTTCTAGGGTTGATTTAAACTTACATCAATTCTACCAAACAGAATTCACTTCTTCAACAACTCCCCAAATTCCTAATCATTACTATTTATAACATGACATCTCACCCCCTTCTGTAAGTTAGTTAGCTACAGCTGTGTCAGTTTCCTCCCTATTCATTTTTTGTTTAATTTCTTCTCAAATATACTTTTGTAACAAACATTGTATAAGTATAACTTGGGAAAACAACTGGAAAATATGTAATTGTTAAAAAGACAGCCATACGCTGCAAGTTCTTTCTGCACCCTCACTGCTTCAACCTGGACAACCATTTGTGCCTTCTTCAAAGTCTCAAAGAGGTTTTGCATGTTTCCAAGAACTCCTGCCTAAAATGAAATCCAATTATTAATATCACACTAAGTCGGCAAAATCCACAAAACCTACCAACAATATAGAAAAGCATTATGTATATTCTATATTGTGAGAATGAGATGAGTAAATCTTAACCATTGGCAAAAAGTAAGAGACCCCTAGAAAAAGCCAGATGACAAGGTGTTTTGACCCAGAACATAAAAACACATGGGATTCATTGAACAACCATTTGAAGAATGTTGAGACGTGCCCATCTTTCAAGTAAGTTTTATAGAAATAAAGAGCCTAAAATTTTCCATTAACATGACAACCTGAGTAATTTGAAGCATTTGGTTGGAGAGAAATTTACTCATGTAGCATTTTTAATTGTTTAGCATTGCAACAGAGCCCTGCTGCACTCCTGCAAAAGCCTGGCCTTCAGAGAGCTGGATACACACCATCAACACCGCAGCTGACGTCCAACAATGTGGGCACCTTCCTGCCACCCATTTTCGCCGTCGTCGCCTCCTTTTCCTGATTCTGGTGAGACCACTTGCAACCCGTGGGTCCAATATTTGAATGGTGTTTTGAGGTTTCTTTGATGTCGTGTAGTTTTTTATCGTTGTAATCGCGTCCTAGAAGCTCTTGCGACATTGTTTTAGGTATTTGGTCATTATTTTTCATCTGTTGTGCATCTGCTATTGTGCAACTTTCAGGCTTTAAAAATGTGTTTTTCCTCAGTTGTGCATATCCGGCTGTGGGTCTCACAGTTTGCACTTGCTTTTTGGTTTGTTGTTTGATGGCTGTCTAATAGGTTTTATCTCCTGCCACCCTAGCTCATTTCGGTAATTCTACGGTTTTCCTGTCTGTAACTCTATGTAGGATCATGAGTTTTAGATTTTGGGGCTTCTGATCATGTAGTCATGTATTCAGTAATCCCATTGTTACCGCTAAGTTGTCACCTTCCAAAATACCTCACAATATTACCTTTGTCAATAGCTCTAAGACACAGATTAATGGTATTCGTCAAGTTTCACCGTTTCCATCTCTATCCTTGAATTATGTGTTACCCATACCTGGTTGTCATTTTAATTTGATTTCAATCAGTAAACTTACACGCTCTCTCAATTGTTCCATAACATTTTCTAGAGACTTTTTCTCTAAACAGGACCGAAGTACGAGAAAGACAGTTGGATTAAGAACTCAATCACAAGGTCTCTATTACCTTTATCATCATTCAGAATCGCATGGTTTCTACCATCTTCTTCATCATTCATCCACTATTACTGGTGTTTATGCATCTCTAGATATCATTCATCCACTATTACTGGTGTTTATGCATCTCTAGGTATCATTCATTGCCATTTAGGTCATTCATGTTTGGATAAGTTAAAGGTATCGATTACTCAACTTTCACATTTTAAGACCCTTGATTGCAAACTGTGCCAGGT